TGAAAATTTCAAGCATGTACAGCATAGAGAGTAGTATAATGTATTTCTAGCGTATTTATCACTGAGCTGTAATCGTTACAAACATTTTTCCCATCATGTTGATTTGTACTAGAGAATGTGGTAGGTAGGGTTTGCCATTTAAGAATTCAGGACGTTCACATTTCATGCTTCATAGGGTTCCTGGGGTATTGGAAGTTGGGTTTTTTACTGTATATTAAAGCTTTAGTTTTTTTTTAATGTTTGTTTGTTTAGAGAGAAAGCAATAAGGGGAGGAGAGGAGAGAGAATCTCAAGCAGTCTCTGCACTGTTAGTGTGGAGCCCAATGCGGGGCTCAGTCCCATGAACTGTGAGATCATGACCTGAGCTGAAATCAAGAGTCGGCTGCTTAACCGACTGAACCACTCAGACGCACTGCTTTATTTATTTATTTATTTTTAATGTTTATTTTGAGAGAGAGAGAACATGAGCAGAGGAGAGGCAGAGAGAGGGAGACAGAGAATCCCACACAGGCTCCGCACTGCCAGTGCAGGGCCTGACACGGGGCTCAAACTTATGCACTGTGAGCTTGAATTGACCTGATCTGAAATCAAGAGTTGGGTGCTTAACCGACTGAGTCACCCCAGTGCCTGTAACTTTGTTCTTTTTTTATAAAACAATTTTTTTTAATGTTTACTTTTGAGAGAGAGTGAGTGCAAGTGGGGCAGGGGCAAAGAGAGAAGGGGACCCAATCCGAAGCAGGCTCCAGGCTCCGAGCTGTCAGCACAGAGCCTGACACAGCGCTCGAACTCACAAACTGAAATCATGACCTGAGCCAAAGTTGGACAGACGCCCAACCCACTGAGCCACCCAGGTGCCCCTAATTTTGTTCTTAATGCCTTTAGTTGTATTTGAATAGGAAATCTTATTTTTCTTGGCTGAGTTGGAAACTATTATCTAAATGCAAAAAAGGTGAAATTGTGAAATTCAAAAAAAATTTTTTTTTTTTGCTGTAATAGAAAATAATTCAAGTAACTAGTTGACTTACTTTATGCCAGACATAGATCCTGCAGTTTATTGGGGTCTTTGAAGCACTTTCTCCCACATGTTATAAAACTTTTGTCTTTGGTTTTATCAGTTGGGTAGCAGCGTACATTGAGAACTCGAACTAATGTACAATAGTGAACAGTCTCCATCCCTACTGCTGAGGTCTTAGGCATTTGTGAGGCAACTTAAAAATGGTTATATTGGGGCACCTGGGTGGCTCAGTCAGTTAAGCATCTCTTGATTTCAGCCCAGGTCATGATCTCACAGTTTGTGAGTTTGAGCCCTGTGTCAGCTCCGAGGGCTCTGCACTGACAGCACGGAACCCTCCCCCCCCCCCCCCCCCAAATAAATAGACAGTTTTAAAAAAATGGTTATATTATTCATGGCAAGTTTTACATGTATGTTGTCCTCAGGCAAGAAACATGCTTCAGTTAAGATAGTGGAATAAGAATATGTTCGTTAAAAGAGCCTGGGGGATTTAAAGGGGGTTTGTTTTCCAAATTGCATGATGGTGGAAAGGTTGGGAAATAAGTTGAGATATGGGAGAAGCAATAAGCAGTTACAGAGGTGAGAACACAGAAAAGCATAGTTAAATAAGGGGCATACATTTTGGATAGTGACAAGGATGACAGATTTTAGGTGGCCATGATTGCCGAGAATGTTTTAGCATTTCCTTTGTGGATGAAATCAGGGAAACTCCCTTGAGCCCAGGTTTTAGAGCACTTCCAAGGCAGTCTTAGTCAGTGGCTCATTGGGCAGTGGTTTCGTCTAGATTGATTGGTAGACATTGGGCCTAGGGTTGAGCCTTTAAGAGAGTGAAGTGGGTACAGGCCTCATTTCAGAGTAAAAGACTACATCACACTTGCTTCAACTAGATGAACCAGCTGTATCTATGTCCCCAGATAACTTTATTGGTACGTGGTTAAGATCATGGTGAATACATTTTTTGTTTTACGATTCTTCAGCATAGTTTGCCTGAAAAAAATAGATACTTTATGTGTGTTGTTATAATCTCATGCTTGAGGAAAGATTGTTACATGTTGAATGTTTTATATAAAACATAAAATGCTGAAAATTGAACTCTGATAGATTTTATTTCAGACATACTGAAGTTGCTAGAGTTGGCTATGAGTAGTTGTTAAAGGGTTACAGAAACGAACTCTTTTTTCATTGAAGGACTATTGGAAGTGTACTTCGTGCAATGAAATGAATCCTCCTCTTCCACCTCATTGCAACAGATGTTGGGCTCTTCGTGAGAATTGGCTTCCTGAAGATAAAGGGAAAGATAAAGGGAAAATGCCTGAGAAAGCCAAAGTGGAAAACTCAACACAAGTAGAAGAGGGCTTTGATGTCCCTGATTGTAAAAAAACTACAGTGAATGATTCCAGGGAATCATGTGCTGAGGAAAATGATGATAAAATCACACAGGCCTCCCAATCCCAAGAAAGTGAGGACTATTCTCAGCCATCAACTTCTAACAGCATCATTCATAGCAGCCAAGAAGATGTCAAAGAGTTTGAGAGGGAAGAAACACAAGACAAAGAAGAAATCATGGAATCTAGTTTTCCCCATAATGCCATTGAACCTTGTGTGATTTGCCAGGGTCGACCTAAAAATGGTTGCATTGTTCATGGCAAAACAGGACATCTTATGGCATGCTTTACTTGTGCAAAAAAGCTAAAGAAGAGGAATAAGCCCTGTCCAGTATGTAGACAACCAATTCAAATGATTGTGCTAACTTATTTCCCCTAGTGGACATGTCTATAAAAGTAGAATTCTATATTTCTAACTATATAACCCTAAAAATTTAGACAACATGAAATTTTTTTTTACACATATCAAAGTGAGAAAGTATCTCCATACATGTAGATTTATTTCTTCTCTAGTATAATTTACTTTGGGAATGGGAATAGTAAATACTTCCTTTTAGAAAAATTTCACTTCTGTTTATATTCTCTGTTTGGGTTTTAATGTAATTCGAGTTCGATATGTAGGTCATCCTTAACCCCGCTACTCATATTTTAAATGATCCCCACTTTGTTAAAATTTAGAGACGTATCTGATTTAAAAAAATAGAAGTACATTAAATGTAAGTTATGTACATTCAGGGTATGGAATGCAGTGATTATGCTACTTAGAAAACATTCAGATCTGCAGATGGTTTCATTTGCCATGCCTATCCATTAAATTGTCTAAATTTTTAGGTTTAGTATACATAAATTATTTATTGATTTACAAATAAAAATACTAAATGTTTGATTAAGCATTGTTTCAAGAGTGTGGTTTTTGGATCTTACAATTTTTCTGTAATGAGCTTTGTTAAAATAGAAATTATACTTGAATATCCTCTATTTGGGTAATCAAAGGTACAAGTCTGAATGTGCTTCTATTTTTGGAATGGCCATCACTGCCGTTGTGTCAGTACACATATTAATGGACAGCTTAATGTAGTTGGGAGCATCCAAGGCAACGAATAAGACCCAGCTTCAGAGAATGACGTTACATGGTTTAGTAGGGCCAGGACATGCTGTCTTCTCCCTCCTGTTCACTTGTGTTATCACATGGCAGGTTGGCTTAAGTGGTTTCTCAACAAGTGATGGTGAATGTTCTGGAAGGGTATAGCTGGGGCTGGGAAGGGAGTTGGGTAACCACCTTGCTACCTGTCAGCATGAAAGCTCCTTGTAATTACCTGTCATGTCTCTGCATCATCTCTGAAACTAAATTCCATGAGGCCAAGATCCTTTTCTTGATTGTGAGTGACACAGATATATAGGTGTTTGATAATAATTTGAGTCAGTCACATCATTGGAACCTGTCTTGTAAAGCAGGAGTCCACAGGCTCCAAAGTCAGACCAGGGTTAGCTGTCATCATTAAGTGCACTTTTTAATTTTTAATTTTTTTTTATTATTTTTTTTTTTAATTTTTTTTTCAACGTTTATTTATTTTTGGGACAGAGACAGAGCATGAACGGGGGAGGGGCAGAGAGAGAGGGAGACACAGAATCGGAAACAACAGGCTCCAGGCTCTGAGCCATCAGCCCAGAGCCTGACGCGGGGCTCGAACTCACGGACCGCGAGATCGTGACCTGGCTGAAGTCGGACGCTTAACCGACTGTGCCACCCAGGCGCCCCTAATTTTTAATTTTTAAATTTATTTTGAAAGAATGTGTGTGAGCCCACCTGTATGTGGGGGAGGGGCAGAGAGAGAATCCAAGCTGTCAGTGTGGATCCCCATGCAGGGCTTGAACCCATAAACCACAAGATCATGACCTGAGCCCAAATCAAGAGTTGGACGCTGAACCAACTGAGCCACCCAGGTGCCCCATTTGTTAATTTTGAGTTTTAATGAGTGTTTTGAAAATACTGGTTAGTGTGTAGATGTCTGTTGGTTTAGGGTGATAACTGGAAGTTGTCATGGCATTGTGAAAAGCTTGTAGTTGTACTTGGTCATTGTTTGGGTTTTGAACTGGGTTTGATTTCATCTTTACAAAAAAGTGTTTAAGAAAATGCCATCTGCTTAAAATTTTTTGGCCATGTTATCTGTCATAGAGCCAGCTTTCTGTTCTATATAGTAGGGAATTTTTGACATCTAAAAATACTTTAAAAAGAAATATTTTAGTGCAGCAGCACACAGGTGCTTAGAAGTGTTGAATATGTTTAATTATAAATGGGACCGTTAACATGAAAATAAAAACAGAAAACGAGCAGTCTCAAGTGACAAGCCGATGAGACTCCCCACAATGTACACATTAAAATAATATATTGAGTGAGGGAACTACAATTGATTATTTTTAGGAGAGGGATGATTCTAAAACATACTTGAATTTTTATTGCTGTCTTTTAAAGCTCTTCTTTAATGATTCATGTTTTAAAAAATTAATAGGGGTGCTTGGGTGGCTCAGTTGAGCATCTGACTTTGGCTCAGGTCAGGATCTCATGGTTTGTGAGTTCGAGCCCCATATTCGGCTCTCTGCTGTCAGCGTGGAGCGCACTTCAGCTCCTTTGTCCCCCTCTCTCTGTACCTCCCCCACACATGCTCTCAAAAGAAGACATTTAAAAAATAATTAAATAAATTGACCGACATCTTCCTTTCATCTCGTTTTAGTCCCACAGATTTGTCTTCAGAATATGACTGTTTAGATGTCCTAACAAGCTTATTACAATATCTCACATTACAAATTACAAAATTTCAATCCTTTCTATTGTTGTTACTGTCATGTTAGATGAATTCCATTTAAACATCTCTCAGTTAAATTTTAGTACTTTTATGTGTTAATTTGGTTCACACCTTCCCAGTTGACACTCTACCCTGCATTATTAGCCTTTCTTCAAGATCACAGTAAAATCAATCAGATTGACTTCACTGGCTTTGGTGTCCCCCATATTCGGTGCCTTTATAGATATTTACAGATAGCTTCATGTTTCCCTGATTTGAAGTCAGAAAAAACTTAATTCTATTTCTTGTTGGATATTATCTCAAATGTATTGCGTGTTCATTTAGACTTTTAGACTTCTCTGTGAAACAGCTTTCTCTTCCCCACCATTGTCTTAAACCCTTTTGGTGCAAAAGTTCATTTCCATCTTCTCGCATGACTTATTTTTATCCTAGTAGAGTGGGAAGGGCTAAATTCAAATAGCAGATCTGGTACTTGCTTGCTTTGTAACCTGAGAATTACAGACAAATACATGGAGCTTAGGATAGGGTCTGGTTAGGTAGTAAGGACTTATAAATGGTAGCTTTTAATAATATTTTTCTTGTAGCCAATTGTGACCATAACCGTGCCAAAACCCAGCTAAAGTAGCCTTGAATTAACCACATCTTTTTTCTCCCCTACATTGTCTCAGTTCTGAGGTACTTTGTTCACACTTAAGTTTACATGTTGCTTTGTACCTTCTCTCCAAAAGCAGGTTGTAATATCCATTTGTATCTCTTTCTTCCCCCCCAGGTACCGAATATAATGCATTGAATATAATGCATTGCGTGCACAGTAGGCATTCAGTAAAGGATGGTGATTGGCAAGGAAAATAGCCGTGTAGTTTTCTGAAATTTACAAGAGGGGAAAAGACAGTTTTAAAAAACATCCTGAAAAAATATTGTCTGCAATATTGCAATAAATTACTTCAATGGCAAAAGAAACATTCTGAGAACACCGTGGTCTTCAAAAGTTGATACGGTATCAGAATTGTACCAGAATTGGTAAAGCTTTGCTTAAAATATCCCTCTATGTAAAAGTTCTTCCACCTTTTCTCGCATTTATTTCCTTCTTTTTTAAGAGGTATGTGGGGGCGCCTGGGTGGCTCAGTCAGTTAAGGGTCCAACTGCAGTTCAGGTCATGATCTTGCAGTGAGTTCGAGCCCCACATCAGGTTCTGTACTGACAGCTCAGAATCTGCAACCTGCTTCAGATTCTGTGTCTCCCTCTCTCTCTGCCCCTCCCCGGCTCACACTCTGTCTCTGCCTCTCTTTCTCAAAAATAAACATTTAAACACATTAAAAAACAGAGGCATGTGAGACCAAATCTCTTTAGTTAAGCACTTTTCTAACCACCAGGTGGAAGCATAGCTCCAGGAGCTCTCTGAAGGCCTCCATTAACGGAAGGTAGACCCTTAACAGAGTGGACAGAGCCCTCCCGGAACAGATTGCTGGGCTGGAGAGCAGAGACGTGAGTTGTGAGTTCTGCTCTCGGTTGTTAAAACACAAACTTCCCATCTTGGTCCTAAAGTCCTTCACTGTTCATCCTTCAGAACTCCCGTGTCCTTGGTCAATGAGGGAAAACCATTTTTAAATTAACTTTGACTTAACCAGGTGTTATTTCAACATAAACTCTGTAAATGTTTAATGAGTACGTAAGAAGGTGTAACAACTGCCTTTGTAAACTGGTGTTTCTAAAATTTGAGGTTCTGTTTAAATCATTTACTTTTCTTATAAAAAAATAGAAAACTTCTAAATAAATAGAAAATTTTAGGTGTGCCTGGGTGGCTCAGTTTGTTAAGCATCTGACTTGGGCTCAGGTCATGATCGCACAGTTCATGAGTTCAAGCCCCATGTCAGGCTTTGTGCTGACAGCGTGGAGCCTGGAGCCCACTTCTGTATCTTCCCTTCTCTCCCTGCCCCTCCCCCACTCACTTATAAATATTAAAAATTTTTTCTTTTAATAGAAAATTTCAAAAAAAGGTGGGGGGGGGGTGGTGCTCCTGGATGGCTCAGTCAGTTAAATGTCTGACTACAGCTCGGGTCATGATCTCATGGTTCGTGAGTTGGAGCCCCACGTCAGGGTCCGGGCCGTGGAGCCTGCCTCGGATTCTGTGTCTCCCTCGCTCTCTCTCTCTGCCCCTTCCCTGCATTCTCTCTCTCTCTCCCTCTCTCAGAAAATGAATAAAACATTAAAAAAAATTTAGAAAAATAAATAGAAAATTTCAAAAATGAAGTAGGAAGAAAAGCACATAATTCTGACATCCAAAAAATGGACTGATCACTTTTTTCTTTTTCCCCTATGTCTAATATTTTAAAAATTAGCTCATTTTAAAATTGTACCTTGCTTTTGGGGGGTAGTGGGAAGCAATGGACCCTCTAAGGAGCTGCAAATTCTGAAATCTAGTGAATATATTCCAGGGAACTTCTGCCAAAGGGTTCCTATTATAATGAATTCTCTTTAGAAAATAGAAAAACTGTTCCCAATTTGTTTTCTAATTTGAGATACTTGTCACTTTTTTGAAATTGGTACCACTAAACTAGCCATTTCCTACTCACCTATGTCTCTATTGTTTACATGTTTCAGAGGGCAAACTTGAGTCCAGCCTCTCTGTCATTAGCTAGAAATTTGACATCAGGGGTTACAGTGATTAGGGTTAGGGACTCATTTTCCAGTTCCTATAGGGGGCAAATCTTTGTTTATAACTACGCTCTGTGCTTCCAAAGCACTTTGAATTCAAAATTTATTACTCTGGACAAAAGACTTCCCCCTACATCAGCATTTCCCAAAATGTGTTTGGTGGTCAAGGAATTTAAGTTCAGAAGGATGGTACTAGGCTAAATTATTTCAAGAAATGGTTCCCTGGCTATGTTTGGAAAATCCATTTCTTTCCTGCATGATTTCTCATTAATGTGCATTCTTAATTTTGCAGGTTTTTTTTTTTTTAATCACAAGGCACATTTTTCATCTGTCATCTTCCCCATGGTAAAAAGTAATTTGGAATATGTATAATAGGATGGGTATACATCATATCATATATATAAACCATCCTGGGGTGACTGGGTTTTGAAGAGTTGCAATATTCTTGCTTCATAAAAAGGTCATTAAGTTTGGTCTTTCCCAGGCTTTGTCTGGTGGTAATCAGTTCTGTCCAGTATGTGGACTTTGTTACACTTGCAGATTTGTTTTTAAGGTAACGTAATGAAAAGAAACAGTATTTTTTGCTTACATGAATATTCTTTATTGAGTCAGAAATACTCAAATTTACTGAACTCAGAGGTAGTCTTGGCTCTACCCAATAAACTTTATTGTGTTAGACAATTTTTGCAAGTCTTTAATTACAGTGCAGAAGGTCACTGAGAAAACATAAAATTAGCTGTGAAACATCTGATAAAAGGCTACGGAGTAGTTCATATGCTAAAGTAGGATAAAATGTTTTGTGAGCAATAGAGTATCTGCTTATTAGCGATATAATGTAAAGTCTCTAATGAAGTTTAACTCTTTCCCTAAACTTCTTAGTTATTGTGAGGGTATGTGTGTGTGTTTTGTTTGTTTTGGCTCTTTTAGGTGGGAGGTGGGTAGAAAATGATTTTTAAAAGTCATGAGGAAGATATAGAGGATTGGTCATAAAATAGATAACTATATTGTCCCTGCAGAATAAAAACCAAACTTCTCAATTAGCAGCTAGCCCTGTTGCAATGAGACAATATACTGTGCTCATTTTTTCTGGATTCCTTAGGAAAATATATTTCCAGCCCGGTATCAGTTATTTTTACTCTCTAAAGGTAGAGGTAACTTCTTACAACATTTTTAAAAACATTACAAATAAAATTCTATTCTGGAGCAAAACACAACATTGATTTCTTAGACTTTCAGAAATGCTGAGAGGAGGCTTTTAACATTTCTGATACATCCAACAGCTGAAGGCTAAATGTGATAATTAAGCCCCAGAATCAACCTTGACACTTATCTGCAGGGACTTACCATTTCTCTAAAATATTCCCCTCCATTTAGATTCATTCATGTTTTTATCATAATTTAAGTAGATACATGAAAGAAACCTTTGTTACCTTCATGAGATTCCTTAAATATTATTAAATGCTCATTCTAGCTAACCAGTGATTGTTTTCAGGTCAATTCTGTTTATACCTGGGGGAAGGGACCTGGTCTTTAATAAGGTATATTATACTGCTTTCAAAATATTTATGCCACCTACTGTTAATTATCCTTTCTCTGGGCAAGTAACAAAAAAATGCATCAAAATATGGCATTTTCATACCACTGCTTTTGATAGTCACAGACTCAAACAGGAGCCTTCATTTTACAGGTAAGGGAACTATGTGGGGTGGGTTTGAATTCAGATTCTTGCTTTCTAATTAAAATTTCACTCCCATATTCTTTCTTTTCTCTCTCTCAAAAATCTTCACCATGTTGATTTCTCCATAAACAGAATTATACCCGAACTCAGAACCTGGGGATTATAATCACCAGTCTAAGAGGGTAAAGAGACAGTACGGAAGGTGTCATACAGGGAGATTTGGGGCTCTGGTCTTAGTTGGAATGTCATGGCTGTTTCTCCTCTTGGTCATTTAACTTGGTTAGTGGAGAGTGTAGCTGGGATTGAGTCATACTAAACTCTCACTACAAAGTTTACTTTTGAGCACAGCCATTGCTGCAAAATATATACCCTGAATGTACTCTGTGTTGAAGGTTTGGTTTAGATTTGTTTAGAGTATTTTACTTGTTTTACTTGTCTTTAAATGATTTTAAGTTTGATTCTGATGAAATTTCTGATTTTAAAAACATTATTTCCTTAAGAAATTTACACTAAGGCTCATGAACCACATCACATTTTGGTTTATGTCCCTTTGAAAATTGGTATCTTGGAAAAGCTATGACTCCAAAGGTCTGCTTGAAAAATAAGGCTTGATGGTAAATCGAATTTTATGTGCTTTGTAGAAATCCAAAATCATTTTCTGCAATACATACTTTCAAGTATATAATAAATTACTGTTTATTTAAATAAAAATGACCCAGATATTCAAGTTATTGCCAGATTTTATAAGTGATAAAAAGACTACAAATTCTGTTTAGATTAACAAGTATGATTGTGTACATGTGAATAAGCTTGGCACAAGAATAGCTCCTATGTGCCCATGTGTCTCCCATTCACTTGTGGTTCTCATGCATTCACCATATACCAAACCCAACCAGTGTAGTTTCATTTTCCGATCCTATAGAACTTCCAATTGAAAGACGAAGGCAACTCACAGTCCATGAGCAATACACAGCACTTAGAAACCTGCTCACGGAGTTGCTATTTTGTGATGTCCCCCCCCACCTTTAATTCTTATATATAATATTTTAAGATGGGTTAACTCTCATGATAGTAGACAACAGTTGCTTCAAAATGAGTACTAATGGTAAAAATTTTGTTTTCTAATTGAAAAAAGGTAGCTTGTGTTAACAGGTAACATGTTTACTATGAACCTTAGGATAAATGCGAAGCATAGTAAAAACACCATACTTGAATTTATTTGTTGACATGTATTTGAAAACACTCTTCTGTCAGTGTTACTACTGAGCTGGAGATTGCCAAAGCATTGGACCTCATTTGACAAAATGACTCAAAGCCCAACAGTTTCTGAGAGAGACTGGGAGTAGCAGGTTTGTGGAACTCTTCACTCATTCATTCAGTTTCTGCTATGTACTGAGCTCTGAGGATATAAAAATGAATTTTCCCAAATTAAATACACTCTGGCCTCAGAGCTCACATTCTATTAGGGAAAATCATACATGAAAGTACAAGATCATAATACAGTTGTAAATCCAATAATAGAGGTAACACATTAGAGAAGCAAAGAGGAAATGTCTCAAGATTGACTGGGAAGGGGTTGCTGGGGTGGAATGGAATGGAATGATGGTCAGCAGAGGCTTCCTAGAGGAGTTGATACCTGAACTGAATTTTAAAGGAGTGGGAAAGAAAATGTCGTGGTGGGTCAGAATGGTATTCCAGATATAGTACACAAACAGCACATTAAGTGTATAGGAACTACAAGCAGTTGACTGATGGTTTTTGTTTTGAGTAGATCCTCTTCCTCAGTGCCATGTAGAAGATGGACTTAAAGAGGAGAAGGCTGGGCACAAGAGACTAGCAAAACTGTCACCGTGGTGCCAGTGAGCTATGGTGGCCTAAACTTGACAACGTTACGAGCCATGGAGAGAGGGAAGATCAATCAACATTTGTAATTAACATCAATCTTTAGTGACTGACTGAATATATGGGATGAAGGAGGACAAGAAACTGTCAAGGATAACACTCAGGTTTCTAGTTTGGTGGTACCAGTCACTGAGACAAATACAGGAGGAAGAGCAGCTCTAGAGAGAAAAATGTGTGTGATTTCTACATGAATTTGAGGTACCTGTGGGTCATATCCAGGTAGATATGTACAGTGGGAAGTTGGACTGGAGTTTGAAGCTCTGGCAAGAGTCTGGACTTACACATTTGGGGGTCATCGGTGTAACTGATGTGGCATCTGAGAGCAGGAAGGCAGGGACACTTAATTGACCTGTTATTTTGGGGCTCCGTAGACACAACCTTGTCATCCCACCAGGCCCATGTTTTTGTGGGCCACTGAGACATTGTTGCCTATTTTCTCTCCTCAGAACATCTGAGAAATGAAATATTTCCAGTGCTGTCATTTCTCCACGTGCTGAGAATTATATTTGGCACTAGTAATTACTATATATCTTCACATCTAGCATTCACCACAGGGTTTTGTATATAGTAAGTAATCAATGAATGTTCATGTTCATTGCTTATATTCATCTGGCTCTCCGTATATAAAATTAGCTCCATTTTTTTCTTGCAGGAACTTCTTTCTTGATTCTCAAGTTTTTCTTACAAATTTCTAAGACAACTTCAAGATTGAGCATAAGTGGATAGTACTTGAAAGGTAGGTATCTTCCATTCATCAAGACTAAATCGTTGCTTTTGTTATCACCACACATAGCTTGCTGTGATTTGGAAACAACCATTTGTCTTCTTAGGGAAGGACCATGGAGTTTATTCAGTCAAGGTCCCACAGAGGGAGTTGAGAGTTGCAGTAACCTGGCATGAGTAATCCCTGATTCCAGGTGATGATGGGGAGTGTGTTCCGTATTTTGCTTTATTTGACAAATGCGTGAAAGACAGTCACTAAAAATAAGAACAGACCAGGCTTTGTTGCCTCTGAGTGGCTTGGCAAATCACTATATAGAGGAATCTTAGAACATGAAGGATTTGATACTGGGATAGAATCCAGTTGCCCTCTGAATGGAAGTAAAATATCCTTTTTAAGAGCACTGAAGTTCTGGGATTTTTCTGGAATAACCACCTTTGTGAGGTATGGATCATGCCCTGGGACTGTAACCTGAGAGGAAACAAGAAACAATTATTTTCTATATGCTAACTACTTTGGATGTAAATTAAAAAAAAATAAAATTATAAAAAAATAAAAATGTTAAATAAAACTAAAAATATATTATCTTAGAAAAATAAAGAATAAAGCCAATGACTTAAAAAAAAAAAAGAATTATCTGAGTGATTTCAGATGTTTTGTGGGGCCAGCACTAAAAACACTAATGTCCACCACTACAAGTGTGCCCTCTATGAAACACATGTAACCATCTGCCAGGCCTCCCCAGCTGGTAACCGCTTCAGTCCTGCTCACTGAATGAATTGTCCAATGCCTATTGATATGGACCACCGTTGCTAATGCTGTTGCCCCAAGAATTATAAAGTGAAATAAAGACAGGCCCTTTATTTGGAGATGTAAGCCAGGAGAAGAAAGCCACAGACTGAATCCCCATCATTTCCATGGAGAGCAAAGGTAAAGAGTTGACAGTTTCCCTTTGTCCCAAGTCTGTACTTAATATCCTGATTGGGTATCGATATTATTCGTAAGTGGAATTCTTTTTTTAATTTATTTCATTTTCCTTGCAGCTGATCTAAGTGTACAAGTTTATTGCTTCCTCAAAAAGCTTTGATTTTACCCAGTTTTTTCTATGAGTTTGACTCTTTAAGCTAGATTTATTTTTTTGGTAGAAGATATCAGAAAAAATAAGACAAATGCTAACCTAACTACAGACCATGTCCACTAAGAAATACTTTTACTATATATGGTAGAGAAGGAAAAGAATGGGGAAAATCATTTATTGGGCACTAATATATATTTGTCATTCATTTCAGCTTCCAAAGTCTTGCCTTCCACTCTTATCCCAGAACTAGTAGCTAAAGCCAATAGGTACTACATTAGTCTAACTGGAAATGAACAATTCATAACTTTGTAAGTGTGTGACTTATTTTTGGGATTACATAAAAATAATTTAGCTTCATTACAAGGAGCCCCCTCCCCTTATCATAGAATGGAAATGTCAGTGTAACAGGAATATAAGGGGCCTTTCAAGGCAAAGATTCACAGTGAATTGATGTCTTCCTGGTTCTAGGAGAGATTCTTAGCAAGAGGATTAGCAGTAGATGAGCCCCCACTGCTGGGCACTGTGGGGATAACCCACGGAACAGAGAAGCTCTGAATCCTGCAGTTGTATAAATTGAAAAACATGCCTTTCATTATTTCACCTTTATAAAATACAGGGCCAGTTTTTACTACAGAATAGATGACTTTTTTCCCCAGGAGTCACTCTGTACAGAACGACTACCATAGCTGGCATCAGACTCACTAAGCAAAGCAGAAGAATCTTGAGTTTCTTAGAGAAAGTCAAATCAAAGAGGAACGGGCACAACCTGGTCAACTAAATCAGGTACTTCATTTAATTCATTCACAAAAACCCATTTGCGCTCAAACTAGTCCAAGCCTCCTCCTAGGAAGAAATGACTCAAACATCTTAATAGAATTAAACCTGGAACTTTACTTGCATTGATTGGAACTCACCATCGTTTGCTTATGAAAGGGCTGCAAAATAGGTCGGTCTGTGGATCAAATTTTATTTATAATGAATTCTAAGGAATCTGTGCCCCAATCCACTTAATAGCAGAAATTATGTTTCATGAAATGGGTGTTAAAATGGTATTCCATGAAGCTTGGAAGTACTTTGGCTACATTGTTTAATTATTGTCATTAATAAGGGTCATTCTGTCTTTTATCATAAAAGGGATCAAAAGAAATAGAACTTGGCTTCTATTAAAAACATTGCCACTCTGGGCTGATGGCTCAGAGCCTGGAGCCTGTTTCCCATTCTGTGTCTCCCTCTCTCTCTGCCCCTCCCCCGTTCATGCTCTGTCTCTCTCTGTCCCAAAAATAAATAAATGTTGGAAAAAAAAAATTTAAAAAAAAAAAAAAAAACATTGCCAGTTGGGGAAAAACATGATTTTTTTGGTTTGTTCCTATCACTCTCACCCTCTCCCACTCCCTGCCAGATGCCATGTCTGATGTTGTCCTTTCCTTCTGTCCTGATGTATCTACTTCTGGGACTTTCCAGACTTATTTCAGATTCCTTCTGGGTAAGTATTGCAAGTTCTAAAGTGTTTTAATAACAATAACTAGGGCTGTATACTTACATTTATTATGTAGGACCCAGGCAAGAGAAGGAGATAATACTCTCCAAATTTGTTGGTTCTATAAGGGCAGATATGTTTTCTGTTTTGGACTTCTACAATTACATTGGGTAACGGATTTCCATTCTGATCAAAAACTTGACCCTTTACACCTGCAAGACAAAAAGAGCATTAAATGTTAATACCGTGTTTTATGACATGAAATAAATTCTTGTAGTTACTTAAGAAAAATATGCCCAATATTTATTAAGTTGTTTTGATAATAACAATAAAGTATTTAAGGGAAGGTAAACTGTTTCAAAAAATTGAGATCTAATTGTCATATAACATTATATTAGATTCAGATGTATAACATAATGATTTATTTGTGAAATGATCACCGTAATATATCTAGTTAACATAATTCAAAATTTTTTCTTGTGATGAGAGCTTTTAAGATTTACTCTCAGCAAATTTCAAATATACAATACAGTATTATTAACTGTATTCATTGTGCTAAACATTAAATCCCCAGGATTTAGAACTGGAAGTTATACTTTTTCACCAGCTTCACCCATTTTAGCCGCCCCGTGCTTCTGGCAACTACCAATCTGTTCTCTACAAATCAGTAGGAATTTTTTGTTTGTGGTGTTTTTTAAGATTTTATTTTTAAGCAATCTCTACACCATATATGGGGCTTAAACTCAACCCTGAGATCAAGAGTTGCACACTCCACTGAGCCAGCCAGGTGCCTCTGTTTTTTTTTTTTTTAATTCTACATAAAGGTGATCATATGGTATTTGTCTTTCCCTGTCTGACGTTTCACTTAGCACGATGCCCACAAGGTCCATCCATGTTGTTGCAGATGGCTGCATTTTTTTTTTTTTTTTTGCATGAAGAAAAAGTGATGTGCATATATACATTTTCTTTATGTGATCATCATTAGACCCTGAAGTTGCTTCCATGTCTTGGCTATTGCAAATAATGCTGTAGTGAATGTGGGGGTGCCGATATCTTCTCAAGTTAGTGTTTGATTATCCTAGGATAAGTACTCAGAACTGCTGGATCATACTGTGTAGCTCTTTATTAATGTGAGGAACCTACAGTGTTCTCCACAGTGACTGCACCAGTTTACATTCCCAGCAACAGTGCACAAGGGTTCTCTTTTCACATCCTTGTCAATACTTGTTTCTTGTGTTTTATTTTTAGCCATTCTGACAGGTGTGAGCTGGTGTCTCATTGTGGTTTTGATTTGCGTTTCCCTGATGATTAGCAATCTTGAGCACCTTTTAATGTACCTGCTCGTCGTCTTTGGAAAAATACCTCTTCGGATCTTCAGCTTAATTTTTAAGTTGGATTGTTTGGGTTTTTTTGTTTTGCTTTGTTTTGTATGTTTGTTTTTTGCTGTTGTGTTGTAGGAATCCCTTATATATTTTGGCTATTAACCCCTTACCAGATATATGATTTGGAAATATTGTCTCCCATTCGATAGGTTGCCCTTTCATTTTATTGATGATTTTGCTGTGCAGAGCTTTTTAGCTTGATGTAGTCCCACCTGTCTTATTTTTTCTTTTGTTGCCTTTGCTTTTTGGTATCAAATCCAAAAAAATAATTGCCAAGACTGATGTCAAGGAGCTTACCACCTATGTTTTCTTCTAGGGGCTTTATGATTTCAAGTTGCATATTCAAGTTTTTAATCCATTTTAATTTTTGTGTATGATATAAGACAGTGGTCCAGTTTGCTCAGCACCATTTATTGAAGAGACTGTCCTTTCCCATGTATAGTCTTGGCTCCTTTGACATAAATGAATTGACCATATATGCCTAAACTTATTTCTGGGCTCTCTATTCTGTTCATTGATGTATGTGTTTGTTTTTATGCCAATATCCTACTGTTTTGTTTACTATAGCTTTGAAGTATAGTTTGAAATCAGGAAGCTCTGTTCTTTCTCAGATGGCTATTCAGGGTCTTTTGTGGATGCATACAAATTTTAGGGTTGTTTGTTCTCTGTGAAAAACACTGTTGGAATTTTGATAGGTATCGCACTGTGTAGATTGGAGTTGTATGGACTATTTAACAATATTAATTTTTCTAATTAATGGATTATCTTCATTTATTTGTGCTTTTAATTTCTTTTATCAAAGGTTTATATTTTTCTGTGTACAAGTCTTTCTCACTTCCATGGTGAAATTTATTCCTAGGTGTTTTACTCTTGTCAATAATGCAGTTTTAAATGGGATTGTTTTCTTAATTTCTCCTTCTGATAGTTTGCTATTAGACTAGAGAAATACAACAGATTTTTGTATATTGATTTTGTATCCTGCAACTTTACTGAATTTATTAGTTGTAACAGTTTCTTGATAGAGTCCTTAGGGTTTTCTATATGTAGTATTGTGACTTGCAAATAAGTGAGGGTTTTACCTCTTCCTTTCTGTTTTGCATGCTTTTTATTTTTCTTACCAAACTGCTCTGGACTTCCAGTACTATGTTGAAAAAAAGTGGTGAGGGTAGGTGTCCTTGTCTTGTTCCTGATCTTAGTAGAAAAGCTTCTACTGTTGATTATGAGGTTAGCTGTAGGCCTTTCATATATGGCTTCTATTATGTTGAGGTACATTCCCCTCTATACCCACTTTGTTGTTAGTTTTTCTAAACGGATGTTAAATTTTGTTAATTTTTTTTTCTTCATCTATTGGGATATTATTTTTATCTCTCATTTTGTTAATGTGGTATATCATGTTGATTGATTTGTGGATGCTGAGCCACCTTTGCATCCCTGGAATAAATCACTTCATCAAGGTCCTTTGAATGTATTGTTGAAGTTGGTCTGCTAATACTTTGTTGAGGATTTTTGCATCTGTGTTCATCAAGTATATAGGCTTGTAATTTTCTTGTAGTGTTGTTGGTTTTGCTATTGGGGTAATGCTGGCCTTGTAAAATGAATTTGAGAGTTATCTCCTCTTCTGTTTTTGGAAGAGTTTGAAGAGGACTGGTATTAACTCTTCTTTAAATGTTTGGTAGAATTCACCAGTGAAGCTATCTGGTCTTGAGCTTTTGTTTAAATTAGGAGATTACTGGCATATTTTTTATTAGTTAGTAAAAGGTCTGTTCAGATTTTCTATTTTTTTTCATGATTCAGTCTTGGTAGGTGTATGTTTCTATGGATTTAATGATCACCTAGGTTGTCTAATTTTTTGATGTACAATCGTTTAGTCTTTTATGATCCTTTGCATTTCTGTGGTATCAGTTGCAACATCCCTTTCATTTCTGAGTTCTTGCTCTCTTTTTCTTGGTGAGTCTAGCTAAAGGTTTATCTTTTCAAAAAAAAACAGCTCTTAGTTTTGTTGATCTTTTTATTGTCTTTTTAGTTTTTATTTCAATTATTTCTTCTGTGATCTTTGTTCCTTCCTTCTAATAACTTTGGGCTTAGTTTGTTCTTTTCCCCTAAGTTGAGAACAAACTAAGTTGAGGTGTAAAGTTAGGTTATTTTAGATTTTTTAAAATTTTAATTCCAGTAAACATACAGTGTTATATTAGTTTCAGGTGTAAAATATAATAATTCAACAATTCTGTGAGATCTCAGTTTCTTAGTGTTGGCATTTATCCCTATGAACTTCTTAGAATAGCTTTTGCTGCATCCCGTAAGTTTTGCTATGTTGTGTTTTTATTTCATTCGTTTCAAGGTTTTGATTTTTCTCTTTTGAGCCACTGATTGTTCAGTAGCATGTTGATTCACATCTGAATATTTGTGAATTTTCCAATTTTCTTCTAGTAATTGATTTCTAGTTTTATACCACCATTGTTGGAAAAGATGGTCAATATGATTTCAGCTTTGTAAACTTACTAAGGCTCATTTTGTGGCATGACATAAAATTTATCCTGGAGAATGTTCCATGTGCACTTGAAGAAAATGTATATTCTGCTGCTGTTGGATGAAATGCTCTGTGTTTATTAAGTACAGCTGGTCTAACGTGTCGTTTAAGGTGTCTTCTTAGTAATTTTCTGTCTGATCGATCCATTGGTGAAAATGGAATATTAAATCCCATTACTGTTATTATATTGCTGTCTATTTTCCCCTTTAGGTCTGCTAATATTTGCTTTATATAGTTAAGTACTCCTATATTAGGTCTTCTTATTGGATTGGCTCTTTTAGAATTATATAATGATTTTGTCTCTGATCACAGTCTTTATCTTAACAGTCTGGTTTTTTTTTGTTAATACAAGTATAGCTATCCCAGCTTTCTTTTGGTTTCCATTTCCATGGAAAATTTTTCCATCCCTTCACTTTCAGTCTGTGTGTCCTTTTGTCTTGAAGTGAGTCTTGTGAAGGCAACATACAGATGGGTCTTGTGGTGTTTTTTTTTTGTTTGTTTGTTTGTTTTCTTTTTCCTCCATCCAGCCACTCTATGTCTTTTGATAGGAGAATTTAGTTCATTTACATTATAGTCATTATTGATAGGTATGTACTTATTGCCATTTTGGTAATTGTTTTCTAGCTGTTTTATAATTCCTTTGTTCTTATTCTCTTCCTTTGTAATTTGTTGGATTTCTAGTGTATGCTTAGATTCCTTCATCTTTTATGTATCTATAGGTTTTTGCTTTGTGGTTACCTTGAGACTTACATAATACAGTCTACTTTAAGTTGATAATAACTTGATAGCATTCTAAGCCTTTGCATGTTTACTCCCTCCAGCCCACATTTTACATCTTTTTACCTTGGGATAAACAAATTATTGTAGCTATATATTTGCTTTGTTTTTTAATGCTTACAATAGTTTTATAAGTGATAAACCCACTACCTTTACAACATTAGATTATTCGGAATTTTATTAAATATTTTTTTACCAGTGAGGGGGGTGAGGCGGAGGGGTGGTGGAAGAGAGAGAGAATCTTAAGCAGGCTGCATGCCCAGCACAGAGCTGACATGGGACTCAATCCTATGACCCTGGGATCATGATCTGAGCCAAGATTAAGAGTCAGATGCTCACCTGACGGAGCCACCCAGCCACCTCTTCCAGTCTTGGAGGAGTGGTGTTTTGTGGATGAACCTTATAATTCAACTCTGCCCTAGCTCTTGGTTGTTTCTCAAACCTTTGTGTTTGTCTAAGCAGCCTACTTTATTCTTAGTAGATCCCAGTAGTTGAAGTTGTGCCAAAACCTGTCAGTACCTAGACTGAGGCTGATTAGAAGCCAGACCTTCAGGCAGAGGCTCTTAAAGTATCCAAAAAAACCTTTCAGGGGGAAGACTGGGGACTGGATGTGTCTCCCTGCTCCCTTTACACTGAGCCCTGGGGTGGTAGCCAGTTAAGAACTATTTGTTTGCCAGTGTCCTGTTGAACCCACAAACACGAACCCCACTGGCTACCAGAGCTACCAAGAGGTACCAGACGCTTGCATAAACTCCTTTTTGGGAGACACTGGTGACCTGGAGGGAGAGAGTGCGCACACATGGTGTCTGCTGGCCTCCATCTTTGGAGAATATTTCAGTAGACCCCTAGATGTGTGTTAAATCTAGGTGTCTGCCCTTCAGGCCAAAAATTTAAGAGCAGCAAATAGGTCTCTTTCACAAAAAAAAAAAAAAAAAAAAAAAAAACCCAAAAACTGGGCATCTTTCAATTGGTGGGCTCTGCACAAGGCCCTGGCAGGTAGCCAACTGAATCTGTGTGAATCCTTGAAGTTCGATACAGCCTTGAGGGTCTTCTGGATGCAAGTCCCATGGCTTTCAAAGTGAGGTGTTTTGAGGGATTGTCTCTTTGGTGTAGCTCTTAACAATAGGGTGCCAAATATGGGGTTCAAACCCTTTGCAGCTCAGGGAGAAGGTTGGAGGTGTAAGTTCCTTCCTGATGTGTGCCTGCACCAGGCACGGGGGTGTATGGCAAGATCGTGTCTCAACCTCTCCCACTCGTTGCAATATAGTTTTATTCTCCCTCACCCAATGTGTAGGAATGGCTCAGGTAGTTTTTGGGTTTCTTTCAGAGGAAATTGCCCCATATGTAGCTGTAGATTTGGTGTGTCTGTGAGAGGAGAGGAGTTCAGGATCCTCCTACATTGCTATCTTGAACCAAAACTAGGAAAACTTATTTTTGGATGTAACTTAAAATACAGTCGGGCTACCAGTTGTATTTATAGGCTAAATCTGTTGTCAAATATTCCATTAATAACACAGATTATCAAAATGAGAGGACACAGATGACAATCTAAGTCCATTCCTTTCCTTTCCAAGTTGTCTACTCAGTCACCAAACTACTATGACATTGCCCTCAGTGGATTCCATTAAATCCTAAACTAAAAAATGCCAGTGTATTTACAAAAGGGGGTGGGGAGGTGCCTGGCTGGCTCAATCAGTGGAACATGTGACTCTTGATCTTGGGATTATGAGTTTGAGCCCCATGTTGGGTGTAGAGATTACTTAAAAAATCTTTTTAAAAAGGCCAGTGTACTTATAATAAGATACGTATCTATGCAAGGGACTTAAGAGTTTTGTCTCCTGGTCAAACTACATGTGAAACAATTATAATCCCAAGATTGCTTGGAATCATGGAACTGATTGAAGGTGTCTTATTACTAACAACAGGAGTGAACATTTAGTGACCAATTAGTATGTTTCAGGCTCTATGGCAAAGTGCTTAATGCGCATATTCTCTTTGAATCCTCACATCAATATTATCACAGTTTTACAGATGAGGAAACTAAGGCTTTGGATTATTAACTAACCTTAAACTCGTACAGCCAAGTGGTACAGCATGGCTGTAAATCCACACTAATCCCCAGAGCCCCCACTGAATCCAGGACCACACCCCACCCCTCGAAATTTCAGGAGTACAGTTGACAAAAGGCCATTTATATTTAAAGACTCTTCTCATTTTAGAGGCGCCTTGGTGGTTCGGTTGGGCATCCAACTCCTGGTTTCTGCTCAGGTCGTGATCTCACAGTTCATGAGATGGAGCCCCGCATCAGGCTCAGCACTGCTGTGCAGAGCCTGCTTGGGATTGTCTCCCCCACCCTCTCTTTTTTTAAGTTTTTTAAGTATTTTGAAAAAGAGACTCTTCTCATTTTAAATGTTACTTTTCACCTTCTAGTTTGCTCACTTAATGACAAATCATCTTAATGACGTAAGACTCCACAATGAAAAAATGACCCTGAACTATCCCCAAACTATCTACTTTGTAATTATTTACTAGAGCAGAAAAATATGAGGCACATACTAGTTTCCTTCAGAAAAGTTTAAAATGAAACATCTTTGTCTCAAACATTAAACAGACTTCTGGTTGACCCAAGTTGCCTTTTACTTTCTTTCCTAATTCTTGACTCTTCATTTTTCCCCCCAGAGAAGGAATTACTAAATGTTGTATTTCCTTCTAGTATTTTCAGAAGACATCAGCTATGTTAACCTCAATTTTCATGTAATTTGTTCTTTTACCTCTTCTAAAAGTTTCATTTATATTTATTTCTCTGACTTGGTATTTATCCTTTTGGTCTTTAGGTAGTACCCAACCACAAACATCAGTCGTAAGTTAGTAGCCTGATTATGCATTTATTCATTGGGTGTCAGTGCCATTATTCTTTGAAGAGATACTTCCATCCTGCCCTTCTTAGGAAGTCCTTTGACACATTAGGTAAGTACAGATATGTCCCGTCATCACAGCTTTCTGTGACAGAAAGAACCCAGTCAAGTCTCAGTGTAAATCCCAGCTCCTAGGACTCTGTTTCATCACCTGTAAAATGGGGGTGATATGTACCACCTTCCAGCCCCTTCTATTGGTGCAGGAGGCCTTTCCTTCCCAGACAAGGTAGGCCGGAGACTTCCAGATGGGTCAGAGTCTCAGAGGCGTCTTAAGCAAGTGATGAAGCTAAGCCAGTGAATACAAACACAGCTTGACAAATACCAGTACTTTCTTTAAACCACAGTAATACCCCTAAGAAGGTGTTTGCTCCCATCATCCCTAAGCAAAGATATTCTTTGGCTTCCTACTACATACCAAAATTGAGAGAACTTTTCTATCCAGTAACAGTAACCACACTGTCAATATTTTGAAATCGGTTTTCATTATTAAATTAGAAAAAGAAAATGCCTGCCTGTCTTAAACCACAAGGGGGCAGGGTTGATGTGCTTTATATATACTTTTAAGTAGATTGTGCATACCTGATTATAGGGACAGGCAGATAAATACTCTTTATAAAACCTAATGTAAATGGACTTGTAAGCCCTCCAAATTAAGAATTACTTAACATGCTATAATTTGCATGTTAAGTGACAGTTTATAAAGCTCCTTCGTTGGCATTAGGTCACCATGATATTTCAGAGCCCACCTTAATTCAGCGCTTAGCAAATAATTTTTACTGCTACACTGAAATTCCAAAAATAGTGCAGTTATATGGAGCATATTCCTTGTCCAGCTTGCAGTCACGCGTTGATGTTGATGGAGGAGAAATTTTACAATAGGCAGAGGAACACATTAAAGGTAGAAATACAGTAGAAAGGCTAAATGTGCCTCGTGATGAAAATCTAGTGGTGAAATACCAGAATAGTAATCAGGAGAAGACCCAAAACAAAGCTTGATGATGTGAAAAAGGAGAAGGACCCAATAATCTAAATAAATGCTAATAATGACTTTTTTTTTTTTTAATTTTTTTTTAACGTTTATTTATTTTTTTGGGGACAGAGAGAGACAGAGCATGAACGGGGGAGGGGCAGAGAGAGAGGGAGACACAGAATCGGAAACAGGCTCCAGGCTCTGAGCCATCAGCCCAGAGCCCGACGCGGGGCTCGAACTCACAGACTGCGAGATCGTGACCTGGCTGAAGTCGGACGCTTAACCGACTGCGCCACCCAGGCGCCCCAATAATGACTTTTTTAACATCTCATCACAGAGAATCAGCCTACTTCATGAACTGGCTGAGACATTTGACACAGCCCTGTGAATTCACCACTAATCTTTGTGCGCTTGTGTTTTTGGGTGGGGGGGAGTGGGGGGAGGGGGCTGGAGGTTGGGGATAGAGGTATGAAAGGAGGGAGGGGCATCCATTTTAGGGATATGGAACCCAGAGAAGCCCTTAATTGTCCTTGCACTCAGCCCTGTACCCCCTGTGCTTCTGACTCTTCCCTTCCTCAACTGCCTCTGTCTCTTTAGCAGGTGGAAAGCTTTGGCGTGAAGCACGCAGAAAATTCCAGGAATTGTGCAGCTATATAGCAGGCCTATGAGGCAAACCTCTTCAACACAAACACACACCTTCTACTTGGGCTTGATAGGGTAGCATAACTATTGTGCCAATTTCTGATATGTTTCTTCCCTCAAGCCATATGAATGGAGAAAACTAAACTCTGGCAATGCAGAAGAGCCTTCCACACTCTGCCCAAAGAGACACAGCTTGGTTAAATACATTTGAACTCCCTGAATCCATCACTATCACAAGCAGTATGATGGCTTTTAAAGCAAGGTCCCTGAACCGGCAGCAGCATCTCCTTGGGAAAGATTAACCAGTCAAGGCACACTAAATCAAACTCTGGGGATGTGTTTTAACAAACCCTCCAGCGAGTCTGCCGTACATGTTCGAGAACAAACACTCTTGCCACATTTAGCCTGTCTATGACAAAGGCTAGCTAGCTGTCAAAAACCAGACTAGACTGGGAAGGTTCCCAGGACCAGATCATTTGGCAGAGTTGCAGGCTGTGAGGGGTTTGAAGCTAATGGTGCCAGGTCACCAGCCCAGGACTAGAAAAAATGCAAAATGGCATGTTCAGGGTTCTCTGGATCTATGATATTGTGTGACAAGTGGCAAGCAAACTTGGCATTTTCTAAACGGGTGATGATGTAACAGAGTCATAACCTGTTTTCCTGGATCTCTTGCCAGATTTCTAGGGCTTCAACATGTAAAATGTGAAGTACTGTGGATTTCATACCCCTACACTGAGTAGCATACCTCATGCTCTCTCTTATATGAACTGACAAGCACTGTAACTCTTACATGCTGCAGATATTCATACAGAGAAAATTCTTCATCATTAGTTCTGGTACTAAAAATGAGGCTGTACCGAGAAAACAAACAGGGACTTGCATTTTCTCAACCCAAACATTTTGCCAGATGCCATGTTTTGTGTTAAGAGGAATTAATAAGAAAAATCTTACAAACCTAGGTGCACCTGTTTTATATATTCAATCAATGAGGCTTTGTTTTTATTCCAGAAGAATGGAAGCTTCTCCTCATGAGGATATTTACAGCACGACAGCTCCAATGTAATTTCAAAACACTGGGCCCAGATGTAGTTGTAATCTTGCATTCCACCTAAACACAAGCATATTTAATTTTTTAAGGTCTAAAATTGGAACGGAGTCAAGTATCCTGTACCTTGGGGACAAATGAATCCGTTGCAAAGAAAGTACATTTAAACAGGAAAAGATGAATTTGACATATTAGCATATAAAGTCACGGCCTGCCATTTTATTACCCAGGCATGAACAGGCAATCCTAAATGTTCCCATATGGGTAACTGGATCAGAGCTAAGGTTCAACTGTGCATCAAAACCAACTGAGGGGCAGGGGAAGGGTCAGCCTTTTTTTTCCCCCCGATCATACATTACAAAAAGGATTCATCAATGTACATTTCTTCTGTGAAAATCATTTTAAACTGAGAGTGATACTTCTAAAAAATGTTTTTGCAAACCATTCATAAATACACATGTAAGCTAAGTATACTCATTCGGCGGAATAATAGTGGCTGACGTTTAGTGAGTGTTCACTATTACCGGGCACCGTTTGAAGAGTTTGTCGCCCGTATTTTACAGATGGGGAGACAATCACATACGGTAAGTAACGTGCCAGTGAAGGCCGAGCCCAGAGCACAGGCTGTCTTGCGGACCCCGTGCTCTTAGGACACCAAACTGCTTCAGGGGATGAAAGAAAGGCTGCTGTGCTAACTCTCGGGAGAGAAGGGACCCAGGCCCCCTTGCGTCTGGGGCTGCCGTCACCTGTTCTCAGTTTCTGGTTCTTACCTCTGAAAACCCAGTTTTCAAAAGGGTATAATCATATTTCCTATCTTCTAAGATGCAAGATTTTCATATTTTAAAATCTCTGAATTGGATGTGTCCTAAATTTGATGGCTAAAAACCATCATTGTGGCATGAGTTTGGCCAGAAACATTTGTTTTTTCTTCCTTGGTGGTACGGTGTATTTTCCAACCAGTGGCATCTTGGATTTTGAAATATGGTAACTTTGAAGGAAGGACTTTCGGCCAGATTTCAACTTGTTGTACTTGATATCTGCCTATAAAATAGATATTCTCAATTCCATCAGGGTATTTCGGAAGTAATGAATTAGAAAAAAACTCAGAAAATAGTCAAGATACATCAAAATATCTAGATTAATATCTATGTAGATCTAGATTCTAGCAGGAAGAATTTCTATGTCCTTTCTAGATCCTTTACTCACCTTCTAAGTTTTGTATTTCTCTCTGAGATCATTTTCACCAAGAAATAGAAAACAGAAAAAAGGACGAGAATAATAAAACAGAAGCCCTTGGCTGGACAGTCTCGGACAGAAAGAATTTAAATGGCAAAACAGGTGTACAGAGCACGCAGGGGTGAGGATGCTTACGTGTGGAGTGTGTGTGCGCCTGTGGATGAGGCACGCCGGGCCCCGACGACAAAACCTCCAGGCTGAGCCAGGATGCTGTGTTCTAAGCTCCTCAACGTAGCTGGCTCTGCCTGCGTTTTCCCTCAGGAGACACAGCCGACACACAGCGACACTCGGAAACAATTCCCAACGGAGACACCAGGTTCCTAGCTAACCTCCCGCAAGCACACCTGGATGTGTCTGCAAGGTGACAGACAGCGGGGGCTCGTGCAGGACCGCTCTGCCACGGGGCGGGAGGGAGCCCTGTCCTCCCTGGGGGAGTGCTGAGCAGGGACTAGGCTTGCACGGCCCGGCGCCGGCCCCCCCCCCCTGTGCCTTGTCCAACAGAGAGTGGGGGTGCGGTGCTGTCTCGCTGGCCCTGCAGCTTCCAGTCGTGGTCTGTGCTAATTCCCATCACCTGGAAAGCTGGCAGAGACCCACAAGTACCAGCTTGTGCAAGGCTGACGGTCTGTGTGTCCACAGTGACGACTGGGAAAGTGGCCTATCACCCAAGTATGGCCTACGGCCTGCTAGAGGTAGGTCTCAAACGGGGTCCTCTCCGCTGAGCAACGAGACCCCCTTCCAGCCCCCCGTCTCCCCTGGCTCTTCCGCCCTAGGTCCCTCCGTTCTCTCAGGCCCCTGACTCGTGTGAGTTCTCTTACACCCCTCGGCTTCTTCTCCCATTCTTCCTTTTGACAAGAATTATCCCCCCTCCTGTGACCCCCACAAGGCAATCTCCTCCCCTCTCTCACCTGGCCCTCCTGTTCCAAGGACAGAAAAGTGTAAGCATGCCCTCACTGCCCCCATACCCGGCTGGAAAAGCACTTTTGTTTAGCGTGCAAAATGGCTTTAAGATCAAGATATTTCTGGAGAAGCGGGAACCCTCTTGCACTGTTGGTGGGAATGCAAATTGGTGCAGCCACTCTGGAAAACAGTGTGGAGGTTCCTCAGAAAATTAAAAATAGACCTACCCTATGACCCAGCAATAGCACTGCTAGGAATTTACCCAAGGGATGCAGGAGTACTGATGCATAGGGGCACTTGTTACCCCAATGTTTATAGCAGCACTCTCAATGATAGCCAAATTATGGAAAGACCCTAAATATCCATCAACTGATGAATAAAGAAATTGTGGTTTATATACACAATGGAGTACTACGTGGCAATGAGAAAGAATGAAATATGGCCCTTTGCAGCAACGTGGATGGAACTGGAGAGTGTGATGCTAAGTGAAATAAGCCATACAGAGAAAGACAGATACCATATGGTTTCACTCTTATGTGGATCCTGAGAAACTTAACAGAAACCCATGGGGGAGGGGAAGGAAAAAAAAGAAAAAAAAGAGGTTAGAATGGGGGAGAGCCAAAGCGTAAGAGACTCTTAAAAACTGAGAACCTGAGGGTTGATGGGGGGTGGGAGGGAGGGGAGGGTGGGTGATGGGTATTGAGGAGGGCACCTTTTGGGATGAGCACTGGGTGTTGTATGGAAACCAATTTGACAATAAATTTCATATATTGAAAAAAAAAGATCAAGATATTTCACGTACAAGTTCAGCTTATTTTACAAACCAGAAGATCTGGCAATAGCTGGATCCCACTGGCGCGTGGCCATAATGAGCTGGATCAGCCGCTGTCCTTGTTAAATGCCGCAGAAGCATCACATTTCTCCAAGGTCTTCTCTACTCCCTCCTGCACCCTGGCTTTACAGTATACCTCTGGGGTACGCTGTACCTTTTCTAAATCTCTCCTTTTTATTCTAATATGCTGCCACCACAATTATTCATTTGCATGTGGCTCTTCCTGTTAAACTTGAGGGTAGGGTCTGTGTTCTGTCCATCTTTCTTGGCACAGTTTCTGGCTCAGAGTAGGTAAATGCTGAACAAGTATCTATCTGAACATCACTCAGTCAGTCACCCCCCCCACTGCTTTTGTGACATTAGCTGACAGAGACGCAACTGGAGGGACCGCACCACCTAACAAACTTTGACAACTGCTGGGGTCCACAAAAACCAGCTGGCACGTGGGGAGGAAGTCAATAAGGAGAAAGCTAGAGGACAAACTCACCTTTGAGTGGATACCAAGAGTAGCCATTTGTAATTCCATTAGGAAAGTTCATCTTAGTTTTACACTGATCTCCTTTCTTCATGGTGGGATTTCTTGAAGCATAGGTATGTGCAAGGTATTGAAACACATCGTCATCAGGGGTTATGCTACGGGAGTATAACGTCCCAGTTGCTGTGTGTGAAAAACAAACCGAGGCCTTTCAGTTCGTGTTGGAGGACGCGGAAACACGCAGCGCCCCGTCAGCAAATGTGCCGTCCGGTCACACAGGAAGGCTCTACTTTTCTAGAGGGAAGCCCACCCCCTGCCATGAACGCTCCGCTCCCTTCTGCTCTTTCTCCTAGTTTTTAGGGAATATATGCAAAGTGGCATCACACAAAATACACCACAGCCATATTCAAAGTCCTCCTCCATCAGCTCATAAGTACCCTCTTAGTCCCTCTTGCTAATTTCTGGAGGGCAGGAAACTTTCCTTATGTACCATGGGGGGTAAATAAAGCCACGGTACTATTTTAAGTCCCTGGTACATACCTTATCCCACAGACTTTTAAAAGCAGTTGGCAATTATCGCTCATGATTAGCAAAGAAAGGCAAGTTCTCGTTTTACGTTCTTTCAGTCATGTTGCCTCTTGTAGGGTATTTTAACCCAATTTTATTATTTTTCTGATGAATCTCAAATAATCCTGTCGGGGACCAGCTCAGCCACACCGCCCATCTACGGTTTATCAACTGAGGGCAGGACGGCCCAGAGGGGAGACGCGGAGGCCCTTTTACCCTGGCAGAGAAGGCAAGCCGAGGAAGATCCGTCCCCTCCAGACGCAGAGCAGTAACTCCACTCTGGGCTCAGAAAGCCAGAGCTGGGGCCATGTCTGCCTACCTGGAACACCATTGTCAAACGGATAACTCGCCACCAGGGCGCCGCCATGGAGGTTTGCAGAGAGGACGAACGTCTCTGTTTTCAGCCACTCCATGACAGCTGCAGTTTCAGGCTGCCTCGATACATTATTAAGTTCAAAAGCATCTGGGAAGTTTCTATTCAGGTCATAGTAGTTACTATTTTCCCTTTAAAAGAAAGAATATTTTAGGTTTTATTGATGGTATGTGAGGAAGTAGACTCATGCAACATGCAAACCTTTTGTCTGGGTACCAGCTGTTTTTCAAAATGCGACTACAGGGCTGGGGATGGTTGTCTTGGTGGCCCCCGATGAACCACACCTGGCGTTCACATAACCTCCGGTCCCCTCCCGTGTGACTTGCTCTCACCAGTGGGATGGTAGCTATTGTGATGTGAGCAGAGGTTTGATACGTGTGTGTTTTAGGGTTTTGCTCTGGGCACGCTCCCTTTGGGAACCCTGAGACTCCGATACTAGCCATGTGAAGAGTCCGTGTGGAGAAATGAGAAACCCAGGTGACAGCCAGAATTGAGACTCCACACATGTCCCAGTCCAGCTGTCTCAGCCACACCCAGCTGAAACTCCAGACACGTGGTGCAGAGATTGGCCAGCCTTGCTCTATCTTGTCCAAATTCCTAACTTCTACAATTGAGGGTAAATAAAAAAGGTTTAAGTCGCTAAATTTGGGAGGGTTTCGTTACATAGCAATTGATAACAGAAACGACAGGAACATACTACTTTACACAAATATATTTCTGGAAAGTGGACTGGCCATGTTTAAATATGCTAGAAAACCCTAAAGTTGAGTGCAATCAAGTGTTGAGATTTTATTTTTGGTAAAAGCAAACAAATGTTTGCACAAATAGAAATGTATACTAGACATCTGAGAAATTCCAAACGTCCTGAGACAGAGTTCAACAAGATAAACTGTTTAAATGAGAACTACTACAAGACTCCCTCTTCTTTTTTGGTTAGTTCCTGTACTGGCTTAATAAACCAACCGGTAATTACTGAAGGCCTAGCTAGGCCCTGGGGATTTAACAGTGAGGATCACAGGCGACAGGATTCCTGCCTCCGGGTAGCTTATAGATTTGTGAGGAGACAGACATTCAAAGAGAAATAAGACCTTAGGGGTACTTGGGTGGCTCAGTCCGTTGGGCAACGAACGTTGGCTCAGGTCATGATCTCATGGTATGTGGGTTCAAGCCCAGCATTCGGCTCTGTGCTAACAGCTCGGAGCCTGGAGCCTGCCTCGGATTCTGTCTCTCCCTCTCTCTCTCTGTCCCTCCCCGTTTGCATTCTGTCTCTCTCTCTCTCTCTCTCAAAAATAAACAAACCTTTAAAAAAATGAAAAAAAGAAATAAGACCTTAAAATTTGTGCTATGAAGGTAAAGTGGCAGGTGATATGAACCGAGGACCTAATACAGGATAGGTTAGGGAGGAAGTCTTCGAGGAAACATTGATTAGCAGTGTGAGGGGTAAGGAGCGGACAATCAGGTGTGCCCACTGCCTGAGGCGAGAAAGAGCCAGCTCATTCCTGGGGACGGAGGGGACTCTGAGCAGCTGGAGTGGGTGAGTGGTAGGGTGGCCACAGGAGTAAAGCAGCCTTCTTCAGGACATTACTTTTCATTCTCAAAGCTGCGGCAGCCTGAAGAGTTTTCAACATGGCAATGACATGACACATGCTATGAGCTGGTTCACTAACAAGGCCTTGGGCTACTACCTGATGAGGGCCTTGTTGTTTTATTTTTTATTTTTAAAGTTTGTTTATTTACTGAGAGAGAGAGAGAGAGAGCGTGCGCACACGCAAGCGAGCTAGGGAGGGGCAGAGAGAGGGAGAGAGGATCCCAACAGGCTCCACATTGCCAGCCTGGAGACTGATGAGGGGCTCAAACCCATGAACCACGAGATCATGACCTAAGCCGAAATCTAGAGTCGGACACTTAACCAACTAAGCCACCCAGGTGCCCCATGGTTGTTTTGTTTTAAATAGACTAGCCCATCCTTACCTTCCGTTACTGTAGAAACAGTCAGGCTTTACGACAGCTTCAAATCCATCTGGGTTCATTGAAGGCATCAAGTGTATCCGGGTACTGTTGATTAAATTTGTGATTTCAACATCTTTTCCATCATTGGTTACGAGATGTTCAATTAAATGGAGCAGCAGCTCCCGCCCAACAGTCTGTGTTATAGAGAAAATGGGACATTACTAGGTCAGAAAGAAAAACAGACTCCAAAGCGCAAATTCCCCATCAAGGGCTTCTACTAGATAAGTTTGGTATTTGAAACCCAAACCAGTTGTGAGATCACTGTTTCTCACACATACAGATACTCTGGCAAGTGGCAATCAGTCACTGGTGTGCCAAAAAGTATTTGTTAGCAAAAATTAAAAAAAAAAAAAGTTAATTTTTTTTTAAAAAAAGTACCCATCTATAAATAATTTGCTTTTTAAAAAATGAATTAGGTAGAATAAGTAATTCTTATTATGTTTCCAATTTGTTTGCCTTCCAGAATACCTTCTGGGGTGGGGGAGCAGAGGTGGCTCAGAGAGGGCAAGAGAGCGTGTGTCTCCGTGAGAATGCCCGCTGTGGCCGAAGGCCGCCATGCGTGTCTCGGTGGATGACAGACTGAGAACCACTGCATTAGATGTATGCAGATTTTAATAGGGGAAAATCCAAGTTTGGAATCAGCACAATTTACATAGGTTTCGATTTTAATATTCCCCTATTGCACCTTTGTGCAATTTTTGCCATATCTGTGTACGTCTGATTGCCACGTTCTCACATTTCTGAAACTTCAGTCGTCTGCACATCATCCTCACAATGTTTTGCCCTATCTGCACATTATCTACACTACTGCTTAGTTTATATTTTCTTTAAACTGGCTCACTCTTCACTTACATGAAAAATGAAAACCTTTGTGTCATTATCATGTTGCTAGATGTTTTTTTTTAATATGAAATTTATTGTCAAATTGGTTTCCATACAACACCCAGTGCTCATCCCAACAGGTGCCCTTCTCAATACCCATCACCCACTTTCCCCTCCCTCCCACTCCCCATCAACCCTCAGTTTGTTCTCAGTACTTAAGAGTCTTTTATGGTTTGCCTCCTTCCCTCTCTGTAACTTTTTCCCCCCTTCCCCTCCCCCATGGTCTTCTGTTAAGTTTCTCAGGATCCACATAAGAGTGAAAACATATGGTAACTGTCTTTCTCTGTAGGACTTATTTCACTTAGCATCACACTCTCCAGTTCCATCCACGTTGCTACAAAAGGCCATATTTCATTCTTTCTCATTGCTAAGTAGTATTCCATTGTGTATATAAACCACAATTTCTTTATCCATTCAGCAGTTGATGGACATTTAGGGTCTTTCCACAATTTGGCTATTGTTGAGAGTGCTGCTATAAACATTGGGGTACAAGTGCCCCTATGCATCAACACTCCTGTATCCCTTGGGTAAATTCCTAGCAGTGCTATTGCAGGGTCATAGGGTAGATCGATTTTTAATTGTTTGAGGAACCTCCACATTGTTTTCCAGAGCGGCTGCACCAGTTTGCATTCCCACCAACAGTGCAAGAGGGTTCCTGTTTCTCCACAACCTCTCCAGCATCTAGTCTCCTGATTTGTCCATCTTAGCCACTCTGACTGGTGTGAGGTGGTATCTCAGTGTGGTTTTGATTTGTATTTCCCTGAGGAGGAGTGACATTGAGCATCTTTTCATGTGCCTGTTGGCCATCTGGATGTCTTCTTTAGAGAAGTATCTATTCATGTTTTCTGCCCATTTCTTCACTGGATTATTTGTTTTTCGGGTGTGGAGTTAGGTGAGTTCTTTATAGATTTTGCTAGATATGTTTCTAATGTACATTTTTTAAAAAGTAGGACTGGGGTATCCAGGTGGCTTAGTCGGTTGAGCGGCCGACTCTTGATTTCAGCTCATGTCATGATCCTAGGGTCATGGGATAGAGCCCTGCATTGGGTTCTGAGTGTGAAGGCTGTTTAAGATTCTCCCTCTCTCAGGGCACCTGGGTGGCGCAGTCGGTTAAGCGTCTGACTTCAGCCAGGTCACGATCTCACGGTCCGTGAGTTCGAGCCCCGCGTCGGGCTCTGGGCTGACAGCTCAGAGCCTGGAGCCTGTTTCCGATTCTGTGTCTCCCTCTCTCTCTGCCCCTCCCCCGTTCATGCTCTGTCTCTGTCCCAAAAATAAATAAACGTTGAAAAAAAAAAATTTAAAAAGATTCTCCCTCTCTCTCCCTCGGCCCTTAACTGGCATGTGTGCACAAGCGCACTCTCATAAATAAATAAATAAGTAAATGCAGGACAGTGAAAATAAAAATGGTCATATCCACCTAAAATTATGTATCACCAGTGATCGGGAAGCCAAAGACCTATGAGAGATCTTGCTTTATAATCCCCAGTGGTGAAAATTCACCATATTAAAAAAAAAAAAAAGTAATTTACACTTCAACCTTATTATAGAAAGATTTGATGAGGCTACATCAATTTGTCTCTCTATTCCTGGGTTCAAAGAATCTACTTCTGAGTAAGGAATGTTTGCCTCTTACCTAAGATCAGATTGCTGTTGAGGGGTTAGTCAATGGGGAAGCGGGGCAGCAGGTGATTAAATAAGCACAGTGCTGTAGAGGCATTAATGCAGGCAGCGAGCGGGAAGAGTTTCCGATTACAACTCCACCGTTATCGATTCACCGTTGTGACAAAGGATGAGCAATCCTCGAATGGTAATTTCTCAACTTTGTTCCCCTCACTGGCAAGCAAAGAAATCATATTTTTATCCTAACGAACACAGAATTGAAATGGGGACTAAGAAAATTTGGGATATGTGAATTACATATTCATAGATAGCCATGAATTTCAGAGTGGAAATATATTCAATTCTGACTTCATTTTTTCCTACTTATTTCTATCTTCTTCTGCTACCTTGAATTTTGTTTTTACAGTCAAAATTCTCAACTTAAAAAAGTCCTTACGAACT